CCCCCCACCCCACCCCATCCCACCATGCAGGGCGGTGCTACTGACTGAAGTGTCTTTAGGCCATTCCCAAAGGGGGATATTAACATGTTCTGATGCACAGTAGAATTGTAAGTGGGCGGAGTTATCAATCTCATGCTCATACTGTGAATGAATAACATAGGAGGAACTGCTGCTTTTTCTTTCCTCATCTTTACTATCGTTATTTTTCTTCTATTTCTTTTGTATGTTTGTCACTCTCTTGTGAACTGCTATTTCCGGGCTGCCTTGATAGTGGAAGCCGACTTTGTGCTGTTGAGGCTAGAGAGGTGAGCAGAGTAAGCCTGATTCCCTGTAAGGACTTCTCAATTGACATCCACCCCTTGGCGCTCATATGACCTTAAGCAGTTGTGAGCGCCGTAAAACCTTACTAGAACTGAACTGTCCGTGTGTGCCAGAAGTGGGAGGTACAGTGAGGTGACACACAGACAGACAGCGGGGCGGGAAGGGGGGGGGATAGGGTAAGGGACTGTTCACAAATTTCGTCGACTAAAATTTGGACCAAAAACACTAGAATGTACATTTAGATAGAACCTGTACCGGATGCATTTTATATTTAAACTTTTCATCTTTTTTTTTCAAATTTAAAAAATAAAAACTATTGTACCTGAAATATCAAAGCATTTATTAACAAGTTCAACCAATCAAAATAATTAAAATAGATAGATTTGATATCACAGCTTGGAAAACAAACAAAGCAAAAAGATTGGAGTATCGTCACAGCTTGGAAAAAAAAATCAAATAAATCTTCTTTTTTTTTTGTTCCCCAACCTTTTAAGAGCGTCATGGTGGAAGTCAACTTAGTAAGGATCTGCCCCCCCCCCCCCCCCCCCCCCCCCCCAATATTAACTTTTGTCAACTTTTAACATTTGTGGTCGAAAGGTGGGTCGTTGGCGGGTGCTCTGCTGTGGTATGTTCATTCTTTCCTAGCAAAAATCTGTCGTCCTAATCTCTCCTCCTTTTTTCTTTGTATGTTACTCACTAGTGACACCTCTGATCTTCGGCTCTTATTCATGTTGTAAGTGCCGTAAAATTCCTGTTAAAACTACCCCTACAATCTCGTCTGTGTGGGTGGTTGGTGGTTTGCTTCTTCTTTCCTACCAAACATCTATCTTCTTTATCTCCCCTCCTTCTTTTTTGTGTTTGTTACACTCTCTTGTAACACCTCTAATTTTCGGCACTTATATGACCTTTTTGTGTTGTAAGTGCCATAAAACTCTAACTAAAACAAATCTCGTCTGCCCCCCTCCCCCCACCCCA